TTCACCAAGAACTAAACAAGGCCTATAGTCGGATGATCAGCCCAGGCGTCAGGCCGATTGACCCTAACATAAAAATTAAACTAATACGACCTGTCCCAACATCACAGCAGGCATCCGGCGACATCCCTCGGGATGAGATTTGTCGCACAGAGCAGCTCCCTTTTGGGTGGAATAATGCTCTATAAACTATAAACAAACTGACCCGAACAGTTGTCCCTAAGGACAACCCCGTTGCCGTTTACACGAGACAAAGATAACTACTGCCACTAACCGAACCAGTGGTAGTCAGTTTACATCTGAGTCGGATGACCGCCTGTCATTACTTGGGATAAATGCAGACGGTACCTTTTGAGTTAATATCCAAGCAAAACTTGGCGAATCAGGGGGGCCAGCCGGTCTACGCCGCCTGGTACCTCTACTACTCAAATCAATCTAGTTTGGAACCTGAAAGGTACAAGAACATTTGTTTTTTGGCAAACAAGGGTACTTGGCCACTATTCCAACTAGGTTCACCAATACAAGCACAGTTGCACATACCAGGGGCCTCGTCCACATGGACAAGCGTCCTGTCTCTACCAAACATCAACGCCTTGTAAACTGTAGATACATTTTGGCATAATTTGGGTTAATAGCCAACGAAACGTGGCGAATAAAGGAAGTCAAGCGGCCTCTGCTGCTTGACCCTCCTACTACTCAAACAAAAGAGGAAGTGACTGGATAACCAATCGCCCTCCCTTGAATGGAACCAAAAGTACTAAAGGACCCCCTGTTCTTGAAAATAGGCGGTCGTTCACTACTGTTCCCTCTTGACCTAATAAGGATACGTCTATAGCAAATACAGGAGGATCCCATCAAACAAGCGTCCCGATTACAGACGGCATGTTCCCATCAAACTTTGAAAATAATTAAAATAAAAGTAGGCGTTCAACCACCTAGGTAGTGCCCTTATAAGAACAACGCAAGGCCTACTAAAATAGGACGACTATTCCTCAACTAGGAAGCTACCCACGATGGTCCAAGGCTTGGTGAACCCTGCTAAGATCTTGATACTTGTCCTCTCAACTACGCCTACTACGACCATTGCTTAAAACCCTCAAACAGCTGCCTGTGCCCAAGCGCGACCAACAGGCGGCCCGGGTAATGTTCGTAAAAAAAATCCAAGTCTGGGAAGTCTGCTATCCCAATCTTTCAACAGAAGGCCGACTGAACTTATGACTGACTAAGATGTTACCTACTAAGATGTCGGTTGTGATACCTACTAAGATGTAACCTACTAAGATGTCTTCTATACTTAGCAACATTCAACATTCAAATGGAAAATTTTGATGCAAAAAGGAAGACAACAAGCGAGAACAGTCGGCATGATAAACAAGCGGCTATTAAAGACATTCTACACTTGGCAAAAAGGAAATAACAAAATAAAGATTGATGGACAAGACGACCAAACAGTTGTCACATTCATATATAAACAGTCGGCCATAAAGACCGGCAAAAATATTCATAGACCCCGACCCCTTGGTCGGGTAAAAAGATACAAGAACAAACGGCTCGCAGGCTGAAGAAGAGTTGAAAAAATAAACAACTAAGCATTAGAGAAGGGGGTGTCATTAATGGCGGCCGCCTGATCAGCTTCGGCAATGGGCGCCTGCTCCTCTAGCACATTCTCTTGTGGTTCATTAGCAGGCGCCTGATTTTGATTGGTGTCCGCCTCCTCTTTCTCAGTCTCCCCTTTGTCGACGACCGCCTCCTCCTCCTCCTCTTCGTTCCTATCCTCACCATCAGAAGAGGAGTCGGCCGCCTCATCCTTCTCTTCATCCTCATCAGTCGCCTGCTGCATAATCTTGATGTTATACTCTTTAGTGTAGGCGGCGAATTTGGACTCCCATTGCTCATAGCCTAAGTCCGGGAAGAGGGCAGTCCAGGTCATCCTTATAATGTTTGAAGCATCCTCCATCATATCTTAGGCTAGGGCCATCTTCTCAGTCTCAGCCTTAGCACTGAGTTGCTTGGACAAGGTCTCCTCTTGGCTGGCCAGGCGCTCCTTGAGCTTTTTGTTCGCCTTTTTGAGCTCATCGGCCGCATGTTTTACATGTTTAAGCGACTGCAACTGGTCTTGAAGATCCTTGACCGCCTTCTCCAGCTCCAAGTTTTTTTCTTGGCCGCCTCCAATTTGGTTTTGACCTACAAGGTGGCGGTCGCCTGATAATACAAGATGTCATTTGTCAAAATTTCATTCTAGGCAATCTGAAACATTGCCTGGTCACAATCAAAGGCGGCCATGGCCTTCGCAGCCTTTACCTCCGTGTTATTTTCGTTGATGGGGCGGCGGAGACCATGTATGCGAAGCAAGGCCTGTGAATCAACAAAATAGGTGTTAGAATCTTTCAAAAAACAGGCGGCAGTTAAATGCTAATGATTGTCTAATGACGAAGAAAATTTATCAAGTTTACCTCAGAGAGTAAACCCATGATAGAGTCCAAGTCAAGGGTACCGACTCCCCTGACCGTTTCCCTTTCCTCTAAAGGAATGGCCTTGACCATAAACTTGGCCATCTGGACCAAGTCCGGCTCCTGATGGCTGCCTGCAATGAGAAGTATAGAAAATTTATCAGATAAGAGGGAAGCAACAGGCCTCCTGACCTAAGAATGTCTAAATTGACAATGTAATCCAGGAAATCAATTATACCACTTGGAAGCCGGGCGTCCCTAGGGACAACTGTTTGTTTCGCCCCACTTTGGGGGGTCCGCGCCTGTTTATCAGACGGTTGTTTCCTGGAAGAACCAAGCGTACTCCCAGCCGTCTGCTTTTGAACCTTTGGGTTCGGTTGCTCCAAGGGAGAGGGTCTGAGTGCCCCACCCTGCAACAAGAAGTCAAGATCATTAAACATAAAAGAAAAGAAAAGTAATGCAAAGAACATGACCAAGTGTTGAAGGCTCACCTTGGACGTCTCTTTTGAGGGAGAGTCAGTAGAAGACTGCTTCTGGTTAATTATAGCCGCACGAAGAAGGGCGGCCACCTTCTTGGAAGCAGAGATCTTGTCCATGGCTTTATCTGCAAAGGCAACTCAGAGTTAGTAGAAATTCAAGAAGAACAAAATGTAAGAACATAAAAGGGGCCGACTACCTCTAGGGGTCCGTTCACTAAGGCCACAGACGGCCAAGAAATACTCGTCAAACAGCCAATTAAATTTAGGTATGCAGTTCAAGGGGATTGACTGTCATACCCCTGTAGCAGAATTCGCTCTGATCTCTACTTTGAAGAGACCTTGATCAAGGATCTCCTCCTTGGCCTTACGAGGAACAGGCGGCAGGCTAGAGCCTCCTGCGAGGAGAGGTGGATCCCTGTTCCACCTATTGTACCTATTGTTAAGAAGTTTGTTGGGGCTAGAAACAATGAAGAAGGTGTTCCTCCGGTCCTTCCACTTGTTCTCCTTCCCCCTTGTCATCAAGTAGCCCTTATGGCTGGAAATCTGATACCACCCAGTACTGCTTGCTTTTGGGGTCCGACTCAGATAATTCATTTGGGCGAATGCTGCAAAATTTGGTTCAACCCCATACATTTCACAGCCGGCTACGAAGCCTAGAATGTTGGACCATGAGTTTGGGGCCAACTGCTAGAGCCCCACCTGGTATCCATCCAGGATTTGTTGAACAGCAGGATGCAAGGGGAATCTTAACCCAGCCTTAATGGCCGCCTCATAGCATCCAAAACAGGCGTCCCCGTAGCTGGCCCCCTCCGACCAGACTACTGTATCCTTAACATCCGGCACATATAAAAAGTAGTCAGGACCCATTACATGGTCCGCCTAAAAAGTCCCTAACCTCTCGGACATGGCCTTAATTTCGGTCTTTTGGGACATGACAATAGAAGGGAGTGTTCAACTCCCTATGAGAAGCAGACGGCTCATCCTAGCTGACTCCCTTTTCAACCGCATAAGACGCTCTCGCCTCATGAAGACGAGAATGCTCTCCCTTTTCAACCGGATTTTTCCCGCCACGTGGACCAGTAACCACCTGCCACGTGTTAGCCACGTGGACCATTCAAGGGGGCTGCCACGTGTCATGCTCTAAGAGGTCCAACATGGATCAATCGCGCCATGCCACGTGGCCCACTATCAGCCAACCTGGAAAACGGACAATTGGGCCCGAATCCTGAGGCAAGCCCAATCAGTCCTAGGTTTACCATATAACCTAGTATTGGGCACGTACTTCGAGGCTATAAATACACTAATTAGCCTTCACTAAATACATTCAGAATAAACTAATCATCTCACCAAGAAAAGCCTAAATACACGTGCATACTACTGGCTAGACCAGACTTAGCATTAATTGCACTACTTGATCACTCCTCCCCATAGAGGAACCAGATCACCTTTACTTTACACACCTTTTTACTCCTAAAACACGTTCTAACTTGATCGTCGGAGGCGAAGCTCCCACCAACCAGAGTTTCCGTTGTTTTGTAGGTACAGGCGCACGGATCCAGTCCCGGAATTGTAACTCTCCCGCAGGACATCAAAAAACCCTGAAACAACTTTCATTTGATTCAAAAAGTTTTGTTTGAATGTGTTTGACTTTATTTATATTATATTATCTTTGTTGAATGCATTTCACTTTCATTTGATTCAAAAATCTTTGTTTTAATATGTTTGACTTTGATTTGATTCCAAAAGCTTTGGTTGAATGCATTTGACTTTCATTTGATTTTTTTTTTTTTTGGTAAGTAAGAGATTTTATTAATACCAAAAAGGAGGCAAGCTCTCAAGAACCACCCCTAGCCTAGGAGAAGCCACCTTCTAGGAAGGGGAGAAAACTAGCCTCAAGTGGAATGACACCTTCTAGGAAGGGCACACCACACTAGGACTAGCACAAGGAAAAGGAGTAAAACCTTATCAACAAACTACAACACCCCCTAAGGGCCAACATACAACACAGAAAACAAAACAACAAGAAAACAGCCATACAACCAAAGACTAGGGATACAACATAACCAACATAAAGCTAAACAGACTGTTTAAGCTTAAACAACCATTTGACTTGAGCTCTAGACCATGAACTATTAATCAATTGCTGGCTTCTGTCAATAACTTCCAATCTGATAACCCTGCATAGTTTTTGAGGGTGGATCACAGCCTTTTGCCAATAGGAATGGTTCCTAGCAAGCCAAACGTGATACAGTAAAGCAATGAGAGTAGCTAGCAAAACCTTCCTCTTTGTCTGGTCTTTGACACCTCTAATCCACATTTTCCAAGCTTCTTCAATATTACATGTTCTGAACCTTATACCAATCCAGGTACAAATATTAACCATGCAAGCCTTACTGTATCTACACTTGAAGAACAAATGCTGCAAGGTCTCAGGTTCCGAGCCACATAACAAACAGGCCTCTTCATTACAAATTCCCAGCCTGCACAACCTATCTCTCAATCTTAATCTGTCATGAACAGCCAACCAAGCTATGAAAGAGTGTTTTGGAATATTGACCTTATTCCAAATCCATTTAGTCCAACTGACAGCAGATAGGTCACCCTGTAGCCATTCATAGCCTTCCCTGATTGAAAAACCACTTTCAACCTAGTTTTAAGACTCAAATCCTGCTTTCATTTCATCCTTCACCTTGCAAATCCTTTTCTAAGCCCATCTTGATCCCTTACTTGGCACATAGTCCCACCAATTTTTATCCTTAACATAAACAGCATAAACCCATTTAACCCACAAAAATTCCTTCTTACAAGCAACTTTCCAAACTTGTTTACCTAAAGCTGCCTTATTCCACAGTGAATAATTTCTGATGCCAAGTCCACTTGTATCCTTAGGTTTACAAACCCACTCCCAGGATATAGGGGGGCATTTGGAGACGGAAGTACTACCATCCCATAAAAAAAGCCCTACAAATCTGATTCACTCTATCAATAACACTCTTGGGAAGCAGGACACATTGAGCCCAAAAGGAGTAGAAACTTATCAAGATTGAATTTAGAAGGACCACTCTACCAGCCATAAGACAGGTGTCTACTAGACCAGCAATGCACCTTAGCCATCATTTTATCAATGAGACCATCAAAATCACTCACTCTAAGGTATTTAGAATTGAGAGGGATCCCTAAATACCTAAAAGGAAATTGGCTTTCAACAAACCCTGATCTTTGCAGAATCTCTTCTTTCACAGTATCTTGAACATTACCAAACATTTTGGTTGTTTTCTCCTCATTAACTTGAAGACCCGAGACCAAATGAAAAGTTTTAAGAGCCCTAGTAAGAAGGGAGATAGACCTTTTATCACCGTGAGCAAAAAGCATCAAATCATCAGCAAACACCAAATGGTTCAACTTCAAAATTCTACATCTGTGATGAAATTTGAACTTCGATTTCTACCCAATTTTTTTCCAGAAGCCTGGTGAGGTATTCCATGCGTATCACAAACAGTAGGGAAGAAAAGGGATCCCCTTGTCTAATACCTCTAGATCCCTTAAAGAAACCATGACTACCCCCATTAATCATTATTGAGTAAGTGGGAGAGGTAACACAAGCCATGACCCATTTTATAAACATGACAGGAAAACCCAGAGCAGACAACATGTTCTCAATAAAAGGCCATTTAACAGTATCGTAAGCTTTCCTTATATCCACCTTGATTGTGCACCTAGGAGGCTTCCTCGTATTCTTATAATCTTTTACAAGAACTTTCATTTGATTTAATTAGCTTTGTTGAATGTATTTGACTTTCATTTAATTCTAAAAGCTTTGTTTGAATGTGTTAGAATTTTAATTGATACAATTAGCTTTGTTGAATGCATTTGACTTTCATTTGATTCAAAAAGCTTTGTTTGAATGTGTTTAACGTTGATTTAATTCAACTAGTGTTGTTGAATTTTTTTTACTTTGATTTAACTCAATTAGCTTTGTTGAATGCATTTGACTTCCATATGATTCAAAAAGTTTTGTTTGAATGTGTTTGAGTTTGATTTGATTCAATTAGTTTTGTTGAATGCATTTGACTTTCATTTGATTTAAAAAGCTTTGGTTGAATGCAATTGACTTTCATTTTATTCAATTAGTTTGTTTGAATGTATTTGTCTTTCTTTTGATTCAAAAAGCTTTGTTGAATTTGTTTGACTTTGATTTAACTGAATCGGCTTTGTTGAATGCATTTGACTTTCAATTGATTCAAAAAGCTTTGTTAATGTGTTTAACGTTGATTTAATTCAACTAGTGTTGTTGAATAATGCTCTATAAACTATAAACAAACGGACCCGAACAGTTGTCCCTAAGGACAACCCCGTTGCCGTTTACACGAGACAAAGATAACTACTGCCACTAACCGAACCAGTGGTAGTCAGTTTACATCTGAGTCGGATGACCGCCTGTCATTACTTGGGATAAATGCAGACGGTACCTTTTGAGTTAATAGCCAAGCAAAACTTGGCGAATCAGGGGGGCCAGCCGGTCTACGCCGCCTGGTACCTCTACTACTCAAATCAATCTAGTTTGGAACCTGAAAGGTACAAGAACATTTGTTTTTTGGCAAACAAGGGTACTTGGCCACTATTCCAACTAGGTTCACCAATACAGGCACAGTTGCACAGACCAGGCGCCTCGTCCACATGGACAAGCGTCCTGTCTCTTCCAAACATCAACGCCTTGTAAACTGTTGATACATTTTGGCATAATTTGGGTTAATAGCCAACGAAACGTGGCGAATAAAGGAAGTCAAGTGGCCTCTGCTGCTTGACCCTCCTACTACTCAAACAAAAGAGGAAGTGACTGGATAACCAGTCGCCCTCCCTTGAATGGAACCAAAAGTGCTAAAGGACCCCCTGTTCTTGAAAATAGGCGGTCGTTCACTACTGTTCCCTCTTGACCTAATAAGGATACGTCTATAGCAAATACAGGAGGATCCCATCAAACAAGCGTCCCGATTACAGACGGCATGTTCCCATCAAACTTTGAAAATAATTAAAATAAAAGTAGGCGTTCAACCACCTAGGTAGTGCCCTTATAAGAACAACGCAAGGCCTACTAAAATAGGACGACTATTCCTCAACTAGGAAGCTACCCACGATGGTCCAAGGCTTGGTGAACCCTTCTAAGATCTTGATACTTGTCCTCTCAACTACGCCTACTACGACCATTGCTTAAAACCCTCAAACAGCTGCCTGTGCCCAAGCGCGACCAACAGGCGGCCCGGGTAATGTTCGTAAAAAAAATCCAAGTCTGGGAAGTCTGCTATCCCAATCTTTCAACAGAAGGCCGACTGAACTTATGATTGACTAAGATGTTACCTACTAAGATGTCGGTTGTGATACCTACTAAGATGTAACCTACTAAGATGTCTTCTATACTTAGCAACATTCAACATTCAAATGGAAAATTTTGATGCAAAAAGGAAGACAACAAGCGAGAACAGTCGGCATGATAAACAAGCGGCTATTAAAGACATTCTACACTTGGCAAAAAGGAAATAACAAAATAAAGATTGATGGACAAGACGACCAAACAGTTGTCACATTCATATATAAACAGTCGGCCATAAAGACCGACAAAAATATTCATAGACCCCGACCCCTTGGTCGGGTAAAAAGATACAAGAACAAACGGCTCGCAGGCTGAAGAAGAGTTGAAAAAATAAACAACTAAGCATTAGAGAAGGGGGTGTCATTAATGGCGGCCGCCTGATCAGCTTCGGCAATGGGCGCCTGCTCCTCTAGCACATTCTCTTGTGGTTCATTAGCAGGCGCCTGATTTTGATTGGTGTCCGCCTCCTCTTTCTCAGTCTCCCCTTTGTTGACGACCGCCTCCTCCTCCTCCTCTTCGTTCCTATCCTCACCATCAGAAGAGGAGTCGGCCGCCTCATCCTTCTCTTCATCCTCATCAGTCGCCTGCTGCATAATCTTGATGTTATACTCTTTAGTGCAGGCGGCGAATTTGGACTCCCATTGCTCATAGCCTAAGTCTGGGAAGAGGGCAGTCCAGGTCATCCTTATAATGTTTGAAGCATCCTCCATCATATCTTAGGCTAGGGCCATCTTCTCAGTCTCAGCCTTAGCACTGAGTTGCTTGGACAAGGTCTCCTCTTGGCTGGCCAGGCGCTCCTTGAGCTTTTTGTTCGCCTTTTTGAGTTCATCGGCCGCATGTTTTACATGTTTAAGCGACTGCAACTGGTCTTGAAGATCCTTGACCGCCTTCTCCAACTCCAAGTTTTTTTCTTGGCCGCCTCCAATTTGGTTTTGACCTACAAGGTGGCGGTCGCCTGATAATACAAGATGTCATTTGTCAAAATTTCATTCTAGGCAATCTGAAACATTGCCCGGTCACAATCAAAGGCGGCCATGGCCTTCGTAGCCTTTACCTCCTTGTTATTTTCGTTGATGGGGCGGCGGAGACCATGTATGCGAAGCAAGGCCTGTGAATCAACAAAATAGGTGTTAGAATCTTTCAAAAAACAGGCGGCAGTTAAATGCTAATGATTGTCTAATGACGAAGAAAATTTATCAAGTTTACCTCAGAGAGTAAACCCATGATAGAGTCCAAGTCAAGGGTACCGACTCCCCTGACCGTTTCCCTTTCCTCTAAAGGAATGGCCTTGACCATAAACTTGGCCATCTGGACCAAGTCCGGCTCCTGATGGCCGCCTGCAATGAGAAGTATAGAAAATTTATCAGATAAGAGGGAAGCAACAGGCCTCCTGACCTAAGAATGTCTAAATTGACGATGTAATCTTGGAAGCCGGGCGTCCCTAGGGACAACTGTTTGTTTCGCCCCACTTTGGGGGGTCCGCGCCTGTTTATCAGACGGTTGTTTCCTGGAAGAACCAAGCGCACTCCCAGCCGTCTGCTTTTGAACCTTTGGGTTCGGTTGCTCCAAGGGAGAGGGTCTGAGTGCCCCACCCTGCAACAAGAAGTCAAGATCATTAAACATAAAAGAAAAGTAAAGTAATGCAAAGAACATGACCAAGTGTTGAAGGCTCACCTTGGACGTCTCTTTTGAGGGAGAGTCAGTAGAAGGCTGCTTCTGGTTAATTATAGCCGCACGAAGAAGGGCGGCCACCTTCTTGGAAGCAGAGATCTTGTCCATGGCTTTATCTGCAAAGGCAACTCAGAGTTAGTAGAAATTCAAGAAGAACAAAATGTAAGAACATAAAAGGGGCCGACTACCTCTAGGGGTCCGTTCACTAAGGCCACAGACGGCCAAGAAATACTCGTCATACAGCCAATTAAATTTAGGTATGCAGTTCAAGGGGATTAACTCTCATACCCCTGTAGCAGAATTCGCTCTGATCTCTACTTTGAAGAGACCTTGATCAAGGATCTCCTCCTTGGCTTTACGAGGAACAGGCGGTAGGCTAGAGCCTCCTGCGAGGAGAGGTGGATCCCTGTTCCACCTATTGTACCTATTGTTAAGAAGTTTGTTGGGGCTAGAAACAATGAAGAAGGTGTTCCTCCGGTCCTTCCACTTGTTCTCCTTCCCCCTTGTCATCAAGTGGCCTTTATGGCTGGAAATATGGTACCACCCAGTACTGCTTGCTTTTGGGGTCCGACTCAGATAATTCATTTGGGCGAATGCTGCAAAATTTGGTTCAACCCCATACATTTCACAGCCGGCTACGAAGCCTAGAATGTTGGACCATGAGTTTGGGGCCAACTGCTAGAGCCCCACCTGGTATCCATCCAGGATTTGTTGAACAGCCGGATGCAAGGGGGATCTTAACCCAGCCTTAATGGCCGCCTCATAGCATCCAAAACAGGCGTCCCCGTAGCTGGCCCCCTCCGGCCAGACTACTGTATCCTTAACATCCGGCACATATAAAAAGTAGTCAGGACCCATTACATGGTCCGCCTAAAAAGTCCCTAACCTCTCGGACATGGCCTTAATTTCGGTCTTTTGGGACATGACAATAGAAGGGAGTGTTCAACTCCCTATGAGAAGCAGACGGCTCATCCTAGCTGACTCCCTTTTCAACCGCATGAGACGCTCTCGCCTCATGAAGACGAGAATGCTCTCCCTTTTCAACCGGATTTTTCCCGCCACGTGGACCAGTAACCACCTGCCACGTGTTAGCCACGTGGACCATTCAAGGGGCTGCCACGTGTCATGCTCTAAGAGGTCCAACATGGATCAATCACGCCATGCCACGTGGCCCACTATCAGCCAACCTGGAAAACGGACAATTGGGCCTGAATCCTGAGGCAAGCCCAATCAGTCCTAGGTTTACCATATAACCTAGTATTGGGCACGTACTTCGAGGCTATAAATACACTAATTAGCCTTCACTAAATACATTCAGAATAAACTAATCATCTCACCAAGAAAAGCCTAAATACACGTGCATACTACTGGCTAGACCAGACTTAGCATTAATTGCACTCCTTGATCACTCCTCCCCAGAGGAACCAGATCACCTTTACTTTCCACACCTTTTTACTCCTAAAACACGTTCTAACTTGATCGTCGGAGGCGAAGCTCCCACCAACCAGAGTTTCCGTTGTTTTGCAGGTACAGGCGCACGATCCAGTCCCGGAATTGTAACTCTCCCGCAGGACATCAAAAAACCCTCAAACAACTTTCATTTGATTCAAAAAGTTTTGTTTGAATGTGTTTGACTTTATTTATATTATATTATCTTTGTTGAATGCATTTCACTTTCATTTGATTCAAAAATCTTTGTTTTAATATGTTTGACTTTGATTTGA